CGGCGCGACGGGAGAGGCGGGGTTCAGGGTGGGGACAGCCGGTGCATCACCGGAGGACCGGGGGCAGGTGCGGGCCGGAGGCAGCGCGCTGGGAGGGGGAGGTGTGGTTCAGCGGTGGCGCGTTCGGAGGGGAGGAGGTGCGGTTCGGCGGCGGCACGCTGGGAGGGGAGAGGTATGGGCCGGTGGTGGCACGCTAGGAGGAGAGGAGGTGCGGGTCGGTGGCGGCGCGCTGGGAGGCGCACGGCGACGGGGATGGGAGCGGCTGGGAATCGAGGAGAACGTGGGGTGCAGGGGTGGGCTTTGTTTTTGTTTTTTGTTTTTTTGAGTTCGGGAGCATCCTTTGCCTCATATATAGGACTGATCGTGATCTAAATAGTTATTTGGATTCTGGGATCAGAATAGTGCTCAGCCCATGTATAGACAGTAGCCCCTGAGACTCTGTTCGGATTAGAACAATCCGGATAGAGGATCAAAAACAAATTGATAATGTATCATATATGTTGTTGGACAGGCTTCTATGCTGGCGGCTACTGCCCAGGCCGTAGAGGTTGCCGAGCTCAATCGGAAGCTTAGGTTGTTCGATGAGGAACTCGACCGCATCAACAAGCGGTTTAACGAAACCCAAGGTATGCGGCACTGCTACATACCAGATAGTGATATATGTATTAATCTTTAAAACTTATTAAATGTTATGATTATAATCACAGTTGGCGCAGCCGAGGTCGAGTCCCTCAAGACCGCCCTCGCCCAAGCCAAGAAGGAGGCGGAGGTGAGCAAGGCGGCCGCAGACAAAGTGGCCAAGGAGTTAGAGGTGGAGAAAACCACCTGCCGAAGACATGAGGCACGGGTCGGGGAGGTCGAACAGGAGCTCAAGGACGCCATCGCCAAGTGCGAGTACTTGGAGCAGAAGAGTTTGGAACAACACTTCGAGCTCACCAAAGCACTGGAAAGGGCGAAAGAAGACCGGATTGAGGCCCAGGGTGCTCGCCAGGAGATTCAAGAGGCCAGGCAAATAGCGGCTAGTAAGGCGATTCTCATGCAGAGTAAATTTACCAGGAAGAGATATATTTTGCTGACTCGGGCTTGGAGTTCTCCACGCGCATTGACGGATCTGCAGAGGAGCATTGCTAATGGCGCCGAGTTCTTCCGCACCAAAGAGGGGAGCTCCACGGAGAAGCTATTCTGGTCGCAATACCTTGCGCCAGAGTATCCGGCATCCCTCAGCGATCAGCTAAAGCAGCTGACGGAGCTGCATAGGGTGGCCGGGTTAGCCATGAAGGATGTAATAGTCCGTCTTTGGCCAGCTGAGCCCATACCCAGCAGCTACTTCGGACATGTGAAGTGGTTGGTCAAGGCGTGTCCTTGGGTGGACGCCATCAAGCGGTCGGCCTGCATAGAAGGTGCCTGGATGGCCTTTGCCCGAGTCAAGGTACAATGGGCGAAGATGAAGGCCACCGAGATTGCCACTGCAGGGCCACCTAAAGGCAAGGATCACTGGCGGCCGGGAAAGTACTTCGGCAAGGTCCTCGAGGGAGCCCGCATCATAGAGGACCAGTGCTCAAAGGACATAATATTTGATTAATAGAGTCCGGTTTGTAAGAGTCATGTACTGAACTTATTGTGTGAAATAGTTATGTTTGCGCTTTATAATTAGTTTATCCTCTTGTTTGGCCGTTTTAATTTATAAGTCTGAAAGTTTACCAATCGTCGGCTTCTGCCCCCACATAAATATTACAAGGGTGTTCGAGAATGCATGACCGCACTTTATCCAATGTCTTGGTCCGATGTAGGAGGCGTCTTGCGACGTGAACTAGGCAATCAGACTATGCGGCTTTAGTTCTTTCACTTAGCCATAAGAGTCCATTGGTGGTGCTAAGTACTAGCCCCCTAGTTACGTGAACGATAGTCGGTGCCTTTGCAACGCGGCTGGTCGAAGCCCAGCCCCTCGTGTAACATGGCATAAATCGCGAATGATTTTTAGTATAACAATAAGTCACCGGATCGCTGACCCACTCTCGCATATCATGACAGCCAGTTTTCGGCTTTCTCTACTGAGGTACTTAACTGGACGAACCAGAAATACTATCACAGTAGTTCTCCCTTTACTACCTTAGCCGAACTTGCGGAACGTAAGGTGGCAAACACAGGAGCCGGGCAACCCAACTATAAACCAAAGACATGAGTCGGAGCCGATGCATATAATGCAATATCCGGGGCATCGAAGAATTCCTTATAGGTGTTCGGACTTAAGAATTTGCGGGACCAAATACAGCCCCTAGTACGAAGGCCGTGCCGAAGCATGTATGTTAGTCGAACGTAAGGGGGAACACGGATGACAAGATAATACAAGAAACCAACCAAAAAGGTGATGATCATCTGCTTCCTCTATATCCTTATGAATACGTCGAGGCGTGTTTTGACAGACAATGCCATTTAATATTAAGGTAATGTATACATGCCTAAAGAGAAAAGAAAAGGGTTTTATATAAGGGAAAGTCTAATAGAGGGCCTAAAAATAATGGTTCAAAAATTCCAGTGATGCCCTGTCGCACATTTGTGTCGTTTCTCCTTAGCAATAAGTCCTTTGATAGGAATGTTTGATGGTTGGGAAACGCTAGCCTTAAGAGGATCTCCTGAAAAACCATATAGCAAATAGGGCTCTTGATGAACCTGCAGTGAGAAAAAAAGGTATATGCGGTCCAGATGGGGTCAAGCCTTACTATGGACCTTTACCGTAGTGTGCCTCCAGCGTCGCCAAGGGTATTTTTAGTGCCTAGTTATGTACGCGCGGTACGTAAGCTGTAACCTGATGGGGCGATCGGCGGAGGCCAAACTGCTAATCAAGGTCCGGATCCATTGATTTATCGCAATTGTGCATGGACCGGACTCGTTTAGATACATCATTGGCTTTACTAGCCGATGAACTGTTCGGCTTTATAAGGCTGCCATACACCTCGGTTGCGAGGGCCTTGGTGTGCTCTTTAGTACGGAGGGAGCGCTCCATATTTCCATTGACTGTAATAACGCCCCGAGGTCCAGGCATCTTCATCTTCAAGTAAGCATAGTGCACGACTGCATTAAAGGGCGAAAGCAGTTTGTCCGAGCAGTGTGTGATAGCCACTACGGAAAGGGATGATGTCAAAGATTAACTCTTCGCTGCGGAAGTTGTCTGGGGAGCGTAATACTACCTCCAGTGTTAGTGAGCCCATGCAACGGGCCTCCACGACCGGTATCACACCTTTAAAGGTAGTGCTACTAGGCTTGATTCTTGATGGGTTGATGCCCATCTTGCGGATAGTGTCTTGATAGATCAAGTTGAGACTGCTGCCCCCGTCCATAAGGACTCTAGTGAGATGGTATCCTCAATAATTGGATCAAGTACAAGGGCAGCTGAACCCCCTTGATGGATACTGGTTGGGTGATCCCTGCGATCAAAATTGATCGGACAAGCTGACCATGGGTTGAACTTGGGGGCGACAGCCTCTACAGCATAGATGTCCCTTAGTGCGCGTTTGCGCTCCCTTTTGGGGATGTGAGTGACATAGATCATGTTCACTGTTTTTACCTCAGGGGGAAACTGTTTCTGACCCCCGGTGTTCGGCTGACGGGGCTCGTCATCGTCCTCACTTGGAGGTCACTTTCCCTTGTGTTTGGTATTTATCTTACCGGCCTGTTTGAAAACCCAACAATTCATGTTTGTGTGGTTAGTAGGCTTATCGGGTCTACCATGAATCTGGCAAGGCCTCTCAAGGATTTTATCCAAGCTGGATGGACCGTCCCTGTTGCCTTTGAAAGGTTTCTTCCGCTGACCGGATTTAGAGCTGCTCAATCCGGCATTGACTGCCATATCGTCTATGTCGTTGTTGGTGTTCCGATGTTTATTTTTATTATGGCAAGGTTTACCATTGCCATCCCTGGCCTCAGAAGTGTCGGGGTCGCCCGAGCTGTTGCTTCTAAGAGCCAACAAGCTATCCTCACCCGCACAGAAGCGCATTAGTAGTGCAGTTAAGGCTGCCATTGTCTTCGGCTTTTCCTGCTCGAGGTGTCGGGCGAGCCGTTCGTCCCGGACGGTGTGTTTGAAGGCCACTAAGGCTTCAACATCTGGATAGTCCACGATCTAGTTCTTTTTTATTAGGAACCGATTCCAAAGCTTGTGAGCCGATTCACCTAGTTGCTGGATTATGTGACTCAAGTCGTCAGCATCCGGTGGCCAGACATAAGTGCCCTGAAAGTTGGCCCGAAAAGCATCTTGCAAATCTTCCTATGTTCCAATGGAGTTTTCTAGGAGGCTGTTCAGCCAGTGCCGTGCTGGTCCTTTCAGCTTTAGAGGAAGATATTTGATGGCATGGAGGTCATCTCCATGAGCCATGTGGGTGTGGAGAAGAAAATCTTCAATCCAGACGGTCGGATCCGTTGTTCCATCCTACTGTTCGATGTTTATGGGTTTAAACCCTTCCAGAAATTGGTGATGCATTACCTCATCGGTGAAGAATAAAGGGTGTGCGGCCCCTTTATATCGCGCAATATCGCGGAGGAGGTCGGCTAACATCTGAGTTCGGTTCTGATCCCGAATATAGTAATGTTCGTCACGCCGGGCTTCATAGCCGTTGTCCCGAGCTGGGGCATGCCCTCTTGATCCGTAGATTGATCTAGTCTGGCCAGCTTTATTGGCTAGGTCACGTTGCAAGTCATATGTGTATCCCGGGGCTACTGTCTCCCTCCTCTTCGGCGAGGGGGTGCGGGTTGGTGTTTGGCTTGATATGCTGCTTTATC